ACCTATAGAAGGGCAGGGAGTTGTTAAAAGATTATGTTTAGAGCCTGATTTTGAATTCATCAAAAATGCATAATTAGTAAATATTATTGGCATGCAGCTCTTTTCCCCCGCCCTCTTCTTCTTTGCGCCTTTAGGTCCTCCTTCTGTATCAGCCATTAAAATTTAGTTGATGCTTTCAAAACCACCCACTAACTGGGAACTAGAGGAAGCATCCCCAAAAGCACAGGTATTTGTAAAATACATAAGGTAAACTTATGGGGCTAATGTTTGGCATTCCTTCCCCCTATCAAAGCATAATTGTTTTAGTCAGTTTCCTCTGTAGGGTCTCTAGTCTTCCCTAAAGGCGAAAGAAGACATCATACTTAGGCAGGATGTGCTGTTGACGCACAGAAGGGCTTGGAAATACCGGCATGGCCTAAGGACCAGGCCGGCCAAAAGCGATAGTTGAAACACAAAATTAAAGCATTACATTCTTGAACGCGAACGTAAAGTTTCTATTAACACACCTCTCTTATCCTCATAGAAATATGCAGCCACTGCCATAGTTAATAGTCTGGCATCTGTTCATTTCCAAACGCCAATGCAACAAGTCGCGTTATGTAGACGATCATGGCTTCAACAACCCCCTGATTCGACAATCCGCAGCTGTCAACTTTAAGCACTTTACTGAAACTTAGAATTCAGGATTCTCTCTAATCTGGATTGCTGCCTCCAAGGCTGATAATAAAAGCTAATGACTGTTGAAGGAACTGTTGTGAATGGGGCAGCACGGTGCGATCACAATCACTAATTCCCTCCGTTATGCTGTAAAATTATTATTTTTACAATCCTTCATTTCAAAATAAGCTAAAACCGAGGAAGAAACTCCTGTCCTTGGCATAAAATTCATGAAGTTATGATGTAAAAAGTTGACTGAAAACAACCATATTGATAGCGTTCACTATTCTACTGAACGCCATACAGATGCAAGAGAGGGAGAGAGAGATGACAATATATTTGCGGCAATAAGCAGTTAGTCAATTAGGCCGTTTCGGATAGGCATGATCGTATTTGGCAGTTGTCACGCGCACCTTCCCCCTCCCCCCGGTGTGAAAGGGCAATACGTCAAGGAGGCAAAAGCGAGCCTGCCCCTCAAGTTGAGCTCTTCGCCATCTGTGCTAAAAAAAACCCAATCAAGCAAACCACTTATGGCGACGCTTTTTTGTGCATCCAATGTTGCACAAACTGGAGGATGCGAAGAATTTTTCATGTACTCCAGCCGTTAATAGTATTTAGTTTCAGACACAATTCGTAGTCCACATTTTTTCCTTCAAAATGTGCCTTTCGTTCCAGATGATTTACTTCACAGGATATATATTTAATACTAGCTGAACGGGGATGTATCTGGGCGGAAATCTGCACCACTTTTCACAACGCATCATTGAACTCCTCGAGGGTAGAAGTCATGGTCTATTGAACGCTACTTTATACAAAAGGGTAAAACTTGAACACAGCCAGGTACTTAGGTTAATAAGGCGGTCAGAACTTGAAGAAGGAAAATGTATCTTTTTATCAGGTGACAAAAAATCCTATGCAGTTTCCGGTACAAGTTCTAGAGCCTTGCAAAACAGGTGAGATTGTTTATCACTCTGCGGAGACGCAAGTCCCTTTTGTGCTCCTCACTGCCTCTTGTTTTGAGTTCCCATATCGTAGTGTGTTGATTGAACTTGGTAGGTGTGACACACACCTGTCTTCTTTACCAGCTTGGGTATATGACTAAAAGGACTCCTTCTGACAGTGTCGTAATCGACACTTAGAAATGCAGATTGACTTTTCGATCGTAACTTGGACAGGATCGGTTTCCAAACAATTGATTATTTGACCGGTTTTGAGGAAAGACTTTTTACTTTTATGTTTCAAAGTTTGCTAAACTAATGAGCACATAGTTGAATCCATCCATGCTATCCCCTCACCACCCCACAAAATAGCCGTGATTATACAATTTGTAGGAAGCAAGTCCACTTTTTTTATCCCTACAAAAAAACAACAACATAGAACTTTATTTCCTCCTCTGCAAAACTTATTCTCGAGGCGAATTGTACTTTAAGAAGGGGAAGGGAAAAAATATTGTTTCGTCCTTATCCACATCCTCATCCGTCGTACTTCTCTGATGCTAATTCACCAAGTGATAACAACTTTCTGTCGCCATTAGATCATTTCTGGTGAGATAGGAACGGATGATTGAGAAATCAAAGGACAGTGATAGAAACGGTGGTAGCTGGACTTAGGTTGCCACTTTTCCGAAACAAAATGCAGTAAGCTCTTTAGCTGGAGGTGAAATTTTACACGCTGTATGTCGTTGAACAAGGGCTTCTAGTTGTGCTAAAGATCAATTTAGCGGGTGAAGCACTTCTTGTACGTTTTTTTAATGGTTACTAATGCTTTGAATGAAAAAATCTGGATAATTTTAGTGATTATTTTGTAGTTAGTAATAATGGGAGGCGAATGGAGAGGAATTTCCTCCAACTGTTCCCGGTTGAACACGAACTGAATTCAGGATCAGGTCGTTCCGCAAAGGGCAGTATCCATGAATAATTGAAATCCATTATGTTATCCTCTTGATTCCACTTTGTAAGTCGCTATTTTTTGCTTCTTCGAGACTAGAATAGAATAGAAGAGAATTTGAGCGCCTTGTCTCTGAGTCCTTTAAAGACAATGATTTTTGTTTATTAACCCTGTTTGTAAAGTCCTCTTCTGTTAAGCGTCATAACATGAAGTGGCTTTTTTGTTTCCCACAACATCTCGAGGCAGGCAAATATGCAATCTCCTCTACTTGTAAATTTGCCTTTTTATAAAATGTCAAAGAGATGTATTCCGCCTATGTCATAGCAAAATGTCGGACTTGGGCAGATAAAAGTATTTTTTGTGTATTTCTCCAAATCTTACTGATTTCTGGCTTTGGTAGGTTGTGATGATCAGTAGCCCCTTAACACCATAGAGATGGACTTGACTTAGCAGCCTTTATTGACGTACTGACAGGACTTATGAATTTGTGCTTAAGTGGGGCGGTTGATCTACTTATTTTGAAGTCAAACTGCCATTTCAAACACGCACTGCACTCATAGATGGACCAAACAGGGCCCCATTAAGGTTAAATGGAGGGGAATGGGTAAAACGTAGGATTAAGTTTTGTGAGCTAGACTAGTCTAGGATCCTCTGTGGCCTTTGATGGCAAACGCGGGAAGTATGTGGTCCCAAATTTTATTGCCCTTATTCCTTTTACATAAAAAAAGTGATCGTAAACGAGATACCGACGACTGTGTAAAAATTTTCTTTTTGTGTATGCCACTTTTTCTTACCCAACTTACAACTCTTAAAGATGTAAAAAAAGGAAAGTGGGAGGACAAAGAAGCTCCCAATGTATACCCATTTTGCTAACAATGTCGTTTGTAGGAGCACCAGAAAGAGCAACTTTTTTGCGCTCAAATTTGCTTTGAAGCTACTGCAAAGCACATCACTTACTGTGTGATAGTTCTGCTGAGGCGTTGGGAGTGAACTGGATTTCGGAATGGCAATCCTCTTCTCACTAGTGCTGTTTGTTTTTTTTTGCCTTCCATCCCCGTAATGCATTGGAGACCCACACGAAAGTTGGCCTGCGTTTAATGAATTCCCACATCCCACTTGGTATTTTCTATGGGTGAATATATACATATATCTTTTCTCAAAAAAGCCGAGAGAAATTTCACCCTTTGCTAGCGGCTTGCCACTGATAAAGTTTACCTTTTTAGTCAGCCTTGTTAGTGACAGCGCTCTAAGGGGCTTGAGAGTTTTTCCATTGTTCAAAAAGTGGTTGAAAAGAAAGAGTTGTAATTGGAGAAGGAGGCTTAGAAAAGGAGCAGAAGTGTCTAGTATCCGTATATGGGTTAAGCCTCTGGACACTTGAGTTAGGCCCATGCATGCTTGACACATTCAGTGTCACAGTGTGTGTCGTGTGTACTTTGTATGCCTGTGTGACAAGTTATCACGCCATGTTGTGTCAACAAATCGATTTTGTGACATTTCGGCACTTTCCTAATGACAAAAGAAGACATAGTACTCCGGCAGAATGTGTATCTTCGACTAAAAACAGGGCTTGAGGGCTACTAGCTTGACTGAGGGGACGATGGCAGAGCTTATAAGTAACCCGTCACCAAAACCGAGAGTTAAACAAGCGATTAAAGCATAGCATAGCCCCTGGCTTATTTTGAGTGTCAACCCTGGCGAACCCCTTGGTCCACCTCCGATGTTAGCCATCACAACGCAGTCGGTTTTGTAAGAAATGCACTCACGAAACAACCGCGCCATTCAGCACATTTGCGTGTTACTAAGATACTTGACCGCAGCGCTACTGATCTCTCTCGGTGACCGCAATGAGTCTGGAGTTTAGTCCTGTTTGGAGAAGGGGAAAGACTGCTGGACATTACGTATGGCCCTTGCTAGTCACAGGAACATTTCCAAGTTGTTTACATCTACGGCTAGTATCGCTTCAGTTGTTAATAGCTTTCCCACAGATCACGAGAATGGGGTAGTTGTTAACCACTCTGGTATGAGTCGCCACGGATCATCCTACCTGCACCACCATATGTTGCATCCGTCACGCAAAGGTTTATCACCCAGCAGCAGAAATCAGGATAGATGTCCTTTAAGGTCGGATTGGCATCCGCTGCCACCAAAGTAGCGCGTCGAGACGAAAGAAGGCGTATTACTTGGCAGAATATGCACTTTTAATGTGCAAATGGACCCGAGGACTACTGGTATGGCTTGGAGGCCAGACGGCCCAACGGATGAACAATGGCGGAAGCCCTAGGTGGCCCGTTATCGATACCGAGAGTTAATCAATCAAATAAAGTTTTACAATTTATCCACTTTAAAATAATTAATCACTGCCGCATG